AATGGCTGCCACTCTTGCCACCGAACAACACACCCGAGATGAGCAGAAAAAGCTATGCTCGAGCATGTCTCGCAACAGTGGCCTCATCGTCACCATCAGGCAACACACGAAAAGTGTTGCGTATCCAACCGGTCCTCAATCCGCCGCCCCTGATAGGCCTGGCTGAACCCCGAGAACCTGAGCTACATAACCGGGGGGATCGGCCAACGCAGATCCAAACACCGGACTCCCATGAATGGGAAGCCGTGTGAGTATCGCCACGTCTCGCAACGTCACGGTCGCCTCCCCAACAGGTAGATGGAAGGAGTGCTTCTCCTGTCTCCATCTCTCCACAAGCGCAGTAACAAGCGCTGGGTCGACCTCTCTGAACGCCATCCGATGTATACCCATGAAGCCAGCGTACTCCACGAAAGGCAGAATGCGGGGATCGATAACCCAATCGCCAAGGAACGCGACAGTGTAGTGCCTGCATGTCAGTATGCCCGCCGAATCAACCGACTGACTCCAAATGTCAACGCTACGATGTGTGTCCTGTAGTGTAAGGACAGAAGGGTCGGTGGGTCCGGGTGTCCTATCTCGGGTGTCCATGGTATCTGTTCATAAACAGTTATAATCCAACAATTAAAAAGTAAAAATTACATACAAGCGATAATAAAATACAAAAACCAGAGGAAGGGCCGAAGGCCCAAAATACTCGTTCAAACACTTCCATGTTGCTGTAATAAACACCGTCTACCAGAGCTTTGTGTTTCCATACAACAACGGTTCCCGGGTTTGACTGTTTGAGTGCTTCCATGAAGTGCGGAAGTCGGCCATAAGAACTCTCCCAATCTCCAAATACTTCAGCTATGGCTTTCTCCCTAGCATACCATGCTCTTCGATAAGTAACGTCGAACTGAAAATGCTTGGATATGAGTTCCTGTATAAATTCAACTTTCAAGCATGGATCTTTCTGCACAAAAGACTTCACAAAATCGAAAATTATGGATGAATCCAAGTGTGCATGATCTGTAGATAACACTTCAGTGACACAGGTGTCCTGGTGCAGGCCTTTGTATGTGACTATGGTAAAGCCTGTCTGAGTGCTCACTTTTTTTAGTGCCTCGTAGCGACCAACCACAATTCTTCTTGCACCGCAGATGAAGGACCTTCTCATTCGAGGTCACTGTGGTGTAGAATTGGTTCCTTTGTATAGAATACTTCTTCACCATTTCCTGAAGCAGTTTCTTAGATTCAAACAACATACCCTTCTCAAACTCCCCCCCCCCCCCCGATCACAAATGTTGTATGACTACCTAATTCGGCCCAATATTGATCAACCTCATAATTCTCATTTACTTGACTTAACCAAGGAATAGGAGTTCTAACCATGGCCTCCCCACCTTCCATGTCTGTAGAATCAACATCCATGTTATCCAGTCCATGTTCCTCCTCTTCGCTCTCAGCCTCATCGTTTGTTTCCCGGAGCGCATCATACAGAGACAACTCGTTATTCACCATATGTTGTAGATTTTCAAGATGATTCACCAATGGTTGAGACGGTGATGTATGATCATCATGCTGCGTAGGTGAATAACTTTGGAGTTGCATGGGAGAAGATATAACTGTGTTCGATGTCGAAGGCCCAGATTGGCCAAACATTGTCGTAGATGTTCCACCATATACAGGTGAAGCTATATGTGAACTCAACGGCACCTGGAACCGATCGTCATGAAGCAGTCTGCTGAAGGACCCCATCCCATATTCAGTTGATGGAATGTCTTGTGAGGGCATTCAGAAGGACTCTATGTAACCGGAAAAATAGGTAGGTTGTTGATTTGGTCGAGTACTTTGTTGCGTACACGTAGACACTATTTCTACATATATCTCATGTGGATAACCCCTCATTAAAACAGCGCTCCTCAAAGCTTTCAAATGTCTATCGTTAGAACAAGGTAACACTTGAACCGCATTATTAGTCTCAAACCTCATTTGAATGTTAAGTTGTACATTCATTCGGTTTAAGCCAATAATGCTATGAACCTCGTTCATCAGATCGTTGAAAGTCATGTCCGGTCCAAGTGGCAATGGTTCCATATTTCCACCACTATACTGGACATTCGGTCCATCAGACACAAATTCACCCCCCCATCGGCATAACAAAACTGCGTTTTGTGCAGCCATATTCTATACAACAACCAAAAACACATCTTAATTGCATGCAATCTCCACCAATTCGCACAATAACAACCAAGATATTCACACTATAAACATAATTAACCATCATTGTTCCAATTCACATTACAACCACAACAAAGTACACAACGAACATATTCACACTATAACAACCAACATATTCTACATAACAAAATTTTCGTAATTAAACAACAATGTAGGCTACTTTATCAAACTAAAACAACAATTTCATCAACATTATCAACAATTTCATCAACATTTTCAACAATTTCATCAACATTTTCAACAATTTTATCAAACATTTCCACAATTTCATCATAAACTTTCTTACTAAACTAACATCAATTTAGGGATTTTATACTAGACAATTATCAAATTACAACAAACCAACTTAGAATTATCAACATAATTGTCAATTTACATCAAACTAACTTAGAATAATCAACAACATTATCAAATTAAAACAATGTAGTATATAATTATCAAACTAACCTAGGTTTTTAAATTTTAAAAACAAATAAGTGAGAAGTACTAACAATGTGATTATAAAGAAGAGGAGAAGCGTGGCGGCAGCAGGCAATAGGCGGCGGCGACGGCGGCAGGCAGCAGGCGGCGGCGGCGACGGCAGAGCTTTGAGGAAGATAGGCTGGCGTGAGGAAGAGTGAGTTTGAGTTTTTAGTTTTGAGGAAGAGTGAGTGCGCGAAAAATATACCAGGCAAAACCGCTGACTAAGGCAGCGTGTTTCTAGTATTAATGAAACGCTGCCTCAATCAGCGTTTTAAGGCCTGTTGTAGCCTGAGACAAAAACGCTGACTGAGGCAGCGTTTTCATGTATTTCCGTATTTTTTTTTAAAAAAAATTTGTATTCCACTAAATAAGAAATTTAAAAAAATAATAATAACAGGGGTAAAACGCTGACCGAGGCAGCGTTTTACCTCAGAAGCTCAATTTCATAAATAGTTTGGCCACGCGTCTATATTCGTAAATAGTTTGCTAATAGAGTTCAGTTTCGTAAAAAATCCGCTAATGTTTAGGCCCTAACATAGGTTGTATATATACCCTTACAAAGTAATACACAAACTAAAGATTCACATTCTTGATAGTAATTAATCCACCAAGTTCCAGAAACCACCACCCTTAGCTGAGAGTATGTTAGACCCCTCTTTATATTCTATGACATGAGTAAATGTAATCATACGGTCATACCTAAAAGATTGTTTTAGGCTTGTTTGAGATATTTTATGTTTTATATGAGTTATATCAGTATATCCAATATTCTTCTATTAGGCCTACCAAATTTGTTTTTATCCCTGAGGACAAACGTTCTTTTTTACCTTTCGTTCGTGCTTTGTCACAAACTCTGACTTCTGCTTTTCAATTTGTTTCTCTGCCACTAGTTTTTAAGCCGGTTTTTTTTTTCAAATAGGAGGAAAATACTTTACTTCATACTCCGTACTTTCTACCCACCAAGTATCCACAAGGCCACAACTAAATTTGTTTGTACCCGTTATAAAAAAAAAAAAAAAAAAAAAAAAAAAAAAAAAAAAAAAAAAAAACTTTCACCATAAAATCTATAACGCACTGTTTAATGTATTAATACAACTCATTCATAAAAATCAAGGAGAGTGAAAGAAACCCAAACCCGAATTTTTAAACTGACATAAAATTTAAACTAAAAAAATTAAACACTTCATAAAGTAAAATTTTTCTTGTTCTAATACAAATATTTCAAAGCTTTTCCTACCTAGGCAGTAATCATTCAATTACTCGTATAATACTTTCTACGGTAGTACGGAATAGCAAATTCTACTACAAAAATGTGCAAAATCATTAATGCCATTAAACCGTATAACAGGCTCCTGTTTATATCAATCTCCCACTTCTCATGGTCATATTGCCCATTGTATGCTTGTAATGACGGTACATAAAATGAGGTTGGAGAAAATGGGTTTCGTTTGTTGAATTCGACGCGATTTGACTGTCAGAATCCGAGGTGATTGGATAGTCGATCTTCAATAAAATTAATGGTTCCATTGTGTCTGCAACGTCAAAGTAACAAAATTCTTAAATTAAATTACTCTTACAAAATATTCATACGAGTACTATTTAACAATAATAGGTACAAAAAATTTGTAGCAACTATAAAAATTTGAATCTTAATCGCACATTTACAATAATATAATCTATATATTCTAATTCACTCTAATTTAACTCCAATTAAACGAAAATTAAATAACTATACGACAAGTCTTGAGATTTATACTTATTTACAGCTTTTATGAAGAAATTTACAAAAATAAAAGCCCAAACAATTTTTTGTTTATTGTTTCAAAAAAAAAACAACAATTTTTCGTTTAATTCTATGGTAAAGAAGAATTGAACGACGAGATTATGGAGGGTTTCTAAATATTTACAATAAAATAAAAATAATTAGGTTAGATCGTTAAAACAATAACGTCATAAAGCAAAATCATAAAACATATTCTTCAAATCGTCAAATTAAAAAAAATATAATCACTGTCGATTTAGAGACAATTGATAATTGAATATAAAAATTAAATTGTACCAGAAAATTTTATGAAAAAACAGAAATAAGCTACGCTCCCTGGGGCGGATCCAACGTGGGTTCATTGAACCCACTTGCTTTTTTGAAAAAATTTGAAAAGTTTTTATTTAAAAAAAAAACAATAAGAGGAAAAGGGTTAAATAGAATATTTTTATGATTTATGTTAATAATTAAAGCTGCAGCCCACCAAACACGAGGTCGTGGGTTCAAAACCCATAACTCACACTTTTTTTTCCGTTTTGTTAAAACAGATCCTACAGCTAAAAGGCTCTGTTTTACCACTTTCCTCCAAATTCTCAAACCGACAAACCGTAACTCCTCTAAAAGGCTTGCACAACCCAGACGCCACTGCCCCGCTGCCCGCACGTAGATCGGCGACCGCCTCACCGTTCCCGGCGCTCCGCACGCCAGAACCCAGATCGGAGTCCAGGCCCTCCACCGTGTCACCGTGAGCTGTTGCGGATTTGCGCCTTTGCGGCCTTGCGTTGCCCACTTTGCCGGTTTCCTTTAAGGCTTTAATTGTATGTCGTCTTCTATCTAGTTCTATCTGGCCTTCTGGGTTAATAATATATAAAGTTTTTGGTTTCATGATTTTTGTAGATAATTACGTGAATACGTGGTGTTTGAATGTGTGAATGTGTGATGAACTTTAGCTATCAATTTTGGGTTTTTGGGTGACTACTGTCTATTGAAAAAATGGTTGAAATTGGGGTCTTGGGGAAGGAAGTATCTGATTTTCATTTACTGATTTAGGGTTTGTAGATTGTAGAAGTAGTTCATTTGTTGAATTGTTGTCTGTTGACTTGAATTAGTGTAATTTGTATAGCCTGTACTTGAATTGTTGTTTGTTGAATACTTGAATTGTTGTCTGTTGAAGTGTTGAATGTTGATTGTCGGTTGAAGTGTTGATTGTCTATTGTTTTAGAGTGTTTATCAATGATTCAATGGAGGTTGTTTTAGAATGTACTACATTGTTCTCATGTTCTGTAATTAGTGTAATCTGTACATTGTTCTTGACTTCTTGTCATGGGTTATCATCGATTTATTGCAGAAGTCGATTAGAAGGGGATAATCAGTGCTCGGTGCTCCACTGCTCCGTCATCCACTCATCCATATTTCGTGGCTCTGTAGGTGAATAACTGAATTTTTACTTCTTAATTTCATATATTTTACATACTATTTGTTTTGATCTTGAATGAATGAATTCTTGATAATAAATTATGATGTATTGATTTTTATTATCTAAAAAAAAATCTGAAAAAAATTGTATGCAATTGCAAAGATATTCTTCTTCTTAGTTTGCTGTATTGCTGTATGCCTCTATTGCCGTATTGCCGTATGCAAAGATATTCTTCTTCTTGAATCTTGATAAATTATGATGTATTGATTTTTATTATCTAAAAAAAAATCTGAAAAAAATAATTTTATAGTGATTGTGTGAACTTCTGTATTGCAGTATTGCCGTATTGGTGAGTGGTTTGCTTATTGATATTTTTTGGTTTATTTCTTTCTCGTATCCATTCTTTCCAGTTTCCAGTTAGCCTATTGTTGCTGTATTGTTGCATGTTGCTGTTAATTGGCGAGTGGTTTGCCGTATTGTTGCTGTTAGCCACTTAGCCTATCATTGAAACTGGTGAAATTCGTTGAGTTACTTTTGGTCTTTACATAATTGTATGCAAATATGCAATTCGTATAATTGTATGCAAATATGCAATTCGTACATAATTGTATGCAAATATGCAATTCATTCAATTGTAAATTATGATTCTGAACTTTCGAAATTTCGAACCCCCTATTTGGAAATCCTGGAGACGCCACTGGTTACATTAGAGATACTCATATGATGGACCGGGCAGACGAAGAAGCAATAGTTATGTATTGGAACAAACAATATTAGTGTTTGCTCATTTTATTTTTGGAATACTTAGAAATAAATGAACAACTGACCTTTAGAAATAAATATTCTGGCTTTTTAGTAGTTTTCCAATCGGCTGCTTATTTTATTTATGGAATACTTTGAAATGGACAACTAAGTTTTAGAAATACTGATTTTGTCTTAATCTTTCGAAAAGTCTTTTTACAATGTTTAAGGAGATTTGGGCTTGTCCTTTGAGTAATGAAGATTGATTACAAATTCAGTTTAGTTGTGTTTGAAAGGGCTAAGGAGAATAATATTCTTTGGAGTTTAGGTATTGCCTTTGACCTACTGTGGGACAAAGTCACTTTGCTATCATCTTGTAGGTTAAGGTCCTGTTCTCCTCACCATATTTACATTAACTTCAAGTATAAAAAGTTAATATACATTTAAATAATGTACGAATTTTTGGCTTTAAAGTTTAGGGCTAATAAGTTTAGGGCTTATTAGGTTTAATAAGCTAATTAGGTGTACATATAAATATATAACATAAAAATTAGGGTAATATGGTCTAATAAGTTAAGTTTAGATAAGTTCATGTGAATTGAACACACCCTAGTTGAGGATTAATAAGTTCAAATTAGCCGAGGACTATATTTTCCCAATTTATTTTCACTTATTCCGGGTCTAATAAGCTCTAATAATATAAGTTCTAGGTAAGTAAGTTAAATTTTATAAGATAAGTGAAATTCAGGATAATTTTATATTACTAGTTTAATGAACAATTTTCTTATTCAAAAAAAGTGTTTATAGGAGAATCTAAGGACATTATACTTGATTGTAACTGAGACATCCGAGAGTAACTTTAGATTGATGGAAAACTAATTTTATTATAATTGATTAAGGGAGGTGCTTAGAAAATTTAGAACATATTTATCGACCATACATTGTTGGGACAACAAAGCAATTGATTGGTTTGTGCATTTGCTATGTTTGAGTGATATATAAAGGGGAATTCTGCAGTAGTTTTTATGTAGTCATGTAATTATGCTGATGTGAATCACTTTTTTCATGGTGGTCTGTCTGGTACAATGTTCACATGGAGCCACTTTAAGATAATCCTCCTTATCAGGATGGAATAACATGATCATGCATTTAAATTCTTGTTCATTAGTGCCCTATGTTGTGGACGCCATTGCTCTTAGCTATGGCAACGAATTGGACTCGGGTCAAAGTATGCTAGGTCTAAATTCCGAACTGTATAATAAATGAGCTAAAATTTGAGTCTGACTCCGAATATGCCTGATTCGCTGATTGGACTCCAAATCTGATGGACATGGCCACGTTTGACTCCAACTCCTAATCGGTTTAATAAATAGATTTTCCATTACCCCTTTTCAGGTTAATATATAAGAAATTCCAAACTTCATCCAAATGCCCAAAAGCTAGCTAGTAGTATATGAAGAGGATTAAAGAAGCATAAATCTAAATATTGTAGCTATCAAACAGTAAAATTGATACTCCTAATCCCCAACATTTACACTGTTAAATAATGATACTTATTACTTGAACTTATAAGAGTAAAATAATCATATCTAAAAAACAACATTTCTTAATATTGTTTCCGGAGAGGAACATGTTAAAAATGACGGGGTTATCTTTCTTAAAGAATTTACTTCGTATTAGTTTAGAAACAAAATTTCTAGTGGGCTAATGTTTTCGGTATGGTTTTAATTTTCTATCTTTTAACAATATTGTCATTTTAACTTTATTGTTTTTAAAATTCAAAAGGAGTGTCGTCGTAGTTAATGCAAAAATTTGACTTCTTTCCTAAGTTTCTTAAGTATAATTATTCTCGTGGTAATACTTATAGTTATATTGGAATTTAACGTGGTTTCTTATTATTTTTGTAATGTGTAGCAATGATAATTTGGATCGTAGGATATAAGGCTGATAAGAATATATAGGCTTTGTATCCCATTAACCTTTTTCTTTTGTCTTAGTTCATTAATTTGCTGTCCATGTCTTATATATGCTATGTACTTATGTGGTTGATGCTAAGTATTGTTATGGGCTGGGTACTTATGTTTTCAAGGGTAATTTAAAGAAAAGGAACATATTTAAGGCCTCTTTTGTGTGAGTGGGGTGTTTGGGGGGTTGAGTGGGGAGGGGTTTATGATGCTTAATATGTGCTGAATGTCTCTATTGAAGATAATAAGTGGGCTGATGTCATTAGGTAACATTTATATACTTGGGGGGAGGGGGTGCTGTGCTGATTGTCAATTGAATGTCATAACAAAGCTGGTTTCATTGTGTAGCCGCTTGATTTTCTAATAGATCACGCATAAATTCTAATAGATCGTTCGTTCTATGCGTATCGTGAGCTGGATACTGAAGTAAAGAATAATTGAGTCTCACAGTTGTAGCTGCCAAGTGAATAAATGATTAGGGTCTTGAGTTGACACACTTTGCTGGATTTTCACTAGGGCATATTTGTTGAGGGTCATACATATGATTTTTATTGGGTGCTTGTTGATTACCTGTCGTTAGAACCTCTGGCCATTTAACCTCACATCATGCTAATCTTGCTAAGTACCTCTTTTCATCTTCTTTTGTATTGACTTCGAAAGTAAGAGTTGCTTGGTAACAGAGGTGAATTCACAACAATATGGGAATAGTTAAGAATTACTTATTTCAAATATCGGAGGTGGCAGTGTTTGATATGCAACATAACATATGTACTTAGTAGGGATAAAAATCTGGAAAGGTGTATGATTATGTAATCCTAGCCTTCATAGGGCTCAATATTGTCTAGAAAAAACTTATCACAAAACAGGTTTAAGAATTTGACAACAGAAGAAAAACTAAGGGCTCGTTTGTTGTCATATTTTTGTTATAACAAAAACAAAAACATGGAAACCAAAAAAAAGAGTATTTTTCACTTTTTTTGTTGTCAATTTTCAAAATTAACATGATGATCTAAAGCCTGACTAATTTTTAATTCATTATACAAGTTATATCGTATGACTTATAAAATCTTAAAACCAAAAGCTGAATGACAGGGATACCAAACACACCTAAGATGTACGTGCACGTGCACAATGGATGTACCATTGATTCATCTAATAATGAATCATCAATGATAAAATTCCTGTCATTTTAATTTCTTATCTTTCAGTTATTGATACATCATTGGATCCAATGGTTTAGTTTGAATTTGTAAAACGGTTGAATAAAAGATGGGAAGAGGGGGGGATATACGAGGATTGATATTAATTATACTTCCTCCTTTCTTTTTAGTTGCTACATTTTCCTACTTTGGAAATTGTTAATTAGTTGCAATACTTTTCATTTTTGACATTTCTTTCTCTCTATCTCTCTCCTACCCATATGGGCCCCTCTTATTTTTCTCTCTATCTCTCTCCTCTTAAAAATTTGTCTAGGAGGCCGTAAAATAAAAGTGTAGCAACTAAAAAAACGGAGGAAGTATGAGAAATTGAGTTTAGGTTGAAAGAATTTAAATTAAGGATTAAGTGAGGGATTAATTCTGAACGTTAATTGTTGAAAGATGAAGGGGAAGAGGGGTGGAGACTAGGGAAAAGAGGCATGAATAATTATAGAAGAAAAAAAGAAGATAAAAGGGGAGGAGACTTGTGTCCCTAAAGCTTTTTAATTTACTACGTATAGATAGGTAGATTGATTGTATTGTTGCTAAGCTTTCCAAATATTAGGATCATATCTGGTCTTCTTTCTTGCTAGTACTCTATTATATTAACTGCATGCTACTGGTCGACTTGTGTAGAATTTGGCCCAAGTGAGAGGTGGTGGAAGGAGATTGAATACTGAAAATGAGTCTTCGTCAAATGTTGAGCCAGCAACGTGCGAAGACCATCATCATCATCTGTTGCTGGAGGCTTACCTCCGTTAGTGAGGTGCTTATACTTAAAACCCCACTGATGCATGTCATGTGTTTTTACAACGTCTTCACTTAAGTTCTAATTAATGTGCATATACTCTTAACAGATCGCATCCGGGGTCTCAGGCATCTGGTAAGGAATAAGCTGTACCTTTTTCTGGAATCCTGTGAGTTTTGGTGTTTGAATTACCTGAAATGATGATATATAATGCATGTCAGAGAGGAGAGCAGGGTCTTCTACATCTAGCTACAGGAAAGATGATTACAACTGGAGATATGATGGTGAAGAATTGCCAGAGGATGTGATGCGTGCTTCAGCTGCCCTGGAAAATTTACAATTGGATAGGAATACTCGGAATCTAACTTCTTCATGGAGGTCTATCTCCCCTCCTCTCTAGTTAGAGCTAACCTTTTTTCTGGAGTGAGTGGAATTTGAGAAGCTGTGTGTTTTCTTTTTTCTTTATCATTTAGTTGTAAGTCTAGAATATTAACAGCTGAGTAACATGGTAACACCTTCACAGACTAACCCTGATAACCTTGTGATAGTTAAGCTTATTTAATTGCCGGAGTTAGTGGTCTGAGAAGTTTCGTATGTTTTTCCCCGAAGTCTAGAATATAAACAGTTGAGTAACATGGTAACACTTTCACAGGCTACCATTATACAATTAAGATATAAACCAGGTTACTTTATGTGTGTTCGGGAATAGGTTGTATACATGTGTTGCATTCATTTATGGCTCCATTTGCTAACAGCTGACCTATCTCTATTTTTTTTAGAGAGCTATATTACCCGAGCCCTTCATTTCATTTCACCTATAGTACCAATGTTGTCATGTTGGTTACTCTGCAATCTAATATAGGTATGGACACTTGACAAACTATTTTGGAAACAACAAACCTTCAACCTCTTAGACCTCACAAACTATCTCCCTTATCCGTCAAAGCCTCTTATCTCTTTTAGAACTCAACCCCCTTTGCTGTTCTCTATTCAGTTTCATGACAGTGAGTTGTGGTGGTGTAGCAACTCAAGCAAGGGCCAGTGAGGCAGCCCAGGATCCTTTGCAGTATCCCGTTACCTGTTAATGCCCCTTTCCACCTCTTTTATATATATGCAAACATCCAAAATCAAAACCATGGCCAGGTTGTTGCAGCTGCTGCCTTTTTCTATTCACTCTCATTCTATTACTCACTTTTCTCTTCTTCCCTGTTCTTTAATCTGTATATGGACCTTCTTGTGCCTGTATAAATTTTGCAAATTATTAGCACTGTAACCTTATTAGTTTCCAGTTCAAAAAATAAAATCCGAACCGGACTTAAAGATTTGAGCCCATCTATTATCTCATTATTTCTACCTGATCTCCTTTATTTCCCTACCCTCACCCTAACTTTTTTAGATTACCCTAATCTGTGAAATCGCTATTGCTTTAACACCTTGCTCATGAGTTTTGATAACTTCTCCACCCCATGGAATCCTCCACTCTCCTCACTCCTTCCTAATCACCTCCATTAGTTTCTCTCTATAGTTCGGCTGGCTGTCAACATAGGCCCGTCTGTTGTGAACAAGCCCTCAGGCCTTACCACTAACTTATTCTCCATCCCTCATCTTCTAGTTCACTCTTTCTCAAAAAGAAAAAAAAAAAAAAGGATGTGATATTTTTGGTATAGTGACGTCCAGTTTGAGCCAAATTGAGTAATTGACACATATAAAAGGGGTGATGATTCTTGAGGTTTTCTGTGGTTGTATCAGTTCCTTTTATGTATTGAAGAAGTTTGTATACTAAGGTTTGTTATCAACATACTTGTCCTAGGAAACTGAATAAAGGACCACTTGACTGAAGTGAATCTGTGAAATTAATACTACTCGGAAGTCAAGCCATAGGATACCAAAAGGATCCCTCTGCTAGTCTAATTGCAGGATTAGTCAACTGAAAATTATGATTTGTAATCATATGCATAATGCTTCTGATGCAACTTTGGATTTGGTTTATTTCCCACTGAATTTAACGTTTATATTGCCATGTATTTAGACTGTTGTATAGGCTTAGTCTGACATTTCTCTTTTTTGCCCTTCCTGGTCCGTAAAACCGTTGAATATATTGATAATCCATATACTTGAAATGATCTCATTTTTTGAATTCCTGAATTTTGTTGCAGGCATGGTGGGGATGGATTCTCCGAGGATGACGGAGTAGATCACATGTAACCTGTACCACTTCACTTGTGTTTATGCTTATCTTTGCGGTCCATATGCGAGTACCATTGTGATTAGTTTATCGAGGTAGTGAGTTTTATGATCTTATATATGGTGAATCTGCAATGTAATTCATTTCTTTCTATTGTGTGTTTTTCCAATCTAATTCAGAATTTGTGGCCCTCTGCCTTTGAACTTATTGTAGCTCCTTGTCTGCGGGTTATTTTCTTGCAAGAGTTGCTCGTGATTATTGTACGAATGATTTGAGCTTCATCTATTATATGCATTTGATAGGGTATAGTCACTGAAGGCAGCTCACGAAATAAATTTGGGCGACCATTTCTAAGGTCATGCCGAATTGCTGATATACCCCATTTGAACAACCCTTTGTTATACCCCCGTCACTCTCAACTGAACCCTCCCTTTTGTCACAATTGGTAACTCCACTCTGGTGTGGAAACAACCAACGTTTGACAAGAAGTCAAGACAAGACTTATGAATACTTAATAAATTCAACTTTTATTTAACTAACTTTAGTTAATAGCCTTCGTTCCAACATGTGCAATAAGATTCAAAATCACATAATACATAATCAATTATACTTTTTTGCAACCTGCATTAGTTTGCTCATTTTCACTACTGAGTTTTCGCTTGGTTGGCTTTACTCCTTTGTGAAGGTGTTTATGTTAGATACTGCCATCGTGATAGGGGCTCAAACCGTAGATGCCTTCACTAGGCTGCAATTTTTTCATTGTGATTGGGGCTCTAACCGTAGATGCCTTCACTAGGCACCAGTGTTTGCATTTCGAGCTTCCAACGTGATGCAAGTGTATGCATTGTGTTTCACCACGAGGGCAACATTTGCATTGGATACCTGTTGACCCTCTTGGTATTTTGATGATTGACAAACAAACATACTTTGACTAATGATGTGTGCTAAGTCTTGGTAGAACAAAAAGATTCAGGTATATACAAACTGTTTCGGAGTAGGAGCAAAGGGATTGAAAGTCTTGATAATAACTAGAGGTGGTTATTGGGTAGGGCTACCCAATGGCAAAAGGGTCGGGCCTAATATTAAAGGGTTTTGACCATTTAATTTTTTAATGGACAGGGCTTTTATAGGGTCTTATTTTATAGGGTATTTATAGGGTCTTATTTTTTAATGAACAGGGCTTACGAATTAAAATAAAAAGGCCAATAATAATTTTTGGTATTTTCTGGCATTTCTGCTCTCATTTGCTCTTCTTCCTGAATCCGTTATCGTCTATTTCTCTCTCTACAAACTCTCGATCAAGCTACTTTAATGGCGAATCAACTTCCGGCAACCTCCGACCCCGATCACCACCGCCTTATCTTTTTTTCTCTCTCCTCCGCTCAACTTTCTCTCTCCTCCTTCCTCTTTGTTTACCACAACAATATCGCCGACAATTTTGTCTCCTCCGCCGCCGAAACGACCGCTTTCATCGTAGTCCGCTGCCGCTGTAGAACGGCGGCATTTGGAGGAGAGAGAAATTGTTGAAGTTCCGAGTGATGTTGATCCAGTTGCTATTCGGTTGAGGAATTTGGACCTTGTTTATCAGTTTCATGGCTAACCTTAGTTTCAATTTACAGTATTTAATTTAATTTTGGGGACGAAAATAGCATTTTTTGAGCAAATAAGTGTAAATTAGAGCTTGCATTACAATTTTCATGGTGTATTTGGGGGACTTTGATGATTAATGTGATTCTCTCTCCATTATTGTAATATTTAACTATCTTTAGTTAATTAATTATAGCGTACTAAAATTCGGGATTTCAAAGTTTTACGTATTTCTTTCTGGGATCATACTGTCATATTGGCCTGTTAATGGCCCGTTTCACTTTTACCTTGACCCTGATCCGACCCTGACCCGCATTGACCCTAACTCGACCCTGACCCGCTAAATATTCATCATGACCCGCAACTGGCCCACCTCGCTAATGACCCGCACCGACCCTCCCGATAACCACCCCTAATGATAACAAGCAAGCTTTCAAGAAGAAGAACAAACTCCATCCTTAGTATTCACTGTTAGCACTAGAAGTTTTTATGTGCAGAGAGGAACTCAGTAAGGAACTTGGTATCATTAAGGAACTTAATGTTTTAGTATAAAAGCAGAAGATGTTTTTACAAAAGTTCTTAAATCAGTTTTAATTCCTTGATTAAAAGATATAATAAAATCAGCTTTTGAAAAGATATATTTTGTAAATAAATAAAAGATAAATAATTGTTTAATTTAAAAGATAAGTTTGTTATTTTTAAATTAAATAATTATTTAAAGTTTTATCTTTTTAAATAATAAATAGCTTTTTAATAAATATCTTTCAACTGATTTTTGACCAAGTAAATTTGGTTAGCTATTCTTAAGGAAGCACGTTGGATGCTTGAGAGAAAAGTCAGGGAGACCATATTCCTCACTCCCTCAACGTTCACTTTGACTCCCCAAGTTAAGGTGTACGTGAGATCATGGGAGGAGTGGCAACATGTTTGAGGCTTCTCATCTCTCTATAAAAGCATGCAACTGATTCTGTTTCGATGAATACATAACAACGAAAAACATTAGTTCTGAGATCTTAAGTTTCCAAGAGCTTTCACGTTTAATTTATAAGAGTGCTGAGTTCCTTTATGTCTTAATCTTCTCTAGTGCATTAGGAAAAGTCTTGTAATTACTTTTATAATTCGGGATTGGGGTTTGAGAGTGTTGTAACTAAGAGACTTGAGTGAGTCTATTAGAGAGGTGTAAGTGATTCAGAGTCGAATCATATAAGAGAGTTAATCTGCGGTAGAGGGACCGTAGCTGAGATACTTGAGTTCCTAGAGGAACTTGAGTTTAGGAAGAAGTTTCACCTTTATAAAAGAGTCTTTACATAGTGAAAATATTCGAAAAGCTTATATTGTGTGTTCTCTCTTTACTTACATTGTTTAATTCCGCAAAAAGTTCTCTATTCTCTACATACTACAATTCACCCCCCCCTCTTGTAGTAGACATCGTACTATCAATACCTTTTACATGAAAGAAGCACCTATTGTAGATACCTCTACCATGGAGGCGATGCAAAACAGTAAACTATGCCAGTGTGGGACTGGTTTTTTTCCCACTTTTTTCAATGTTATTGAGTGAGAAGAAACGTGATGGACCGGTTATGGTGGCGATGGCCAGCAGATGGTGGTTTGAGAGAAGTGAGGAGAGGAAGTAAGCCAGGTAGAGAAATGAGTGGGGTTGATGTATCGATGGAAGGTTATGGAGGGGTGGGTTAAGTAATGAGGAAGTATATGCCACTACCTGGTGTAGGCGCACATTGCCCCTTACCATAATAAATAAAAAATAAAAAAAAATAAAAAAAAAATAAAAAAAACGGATTTTTCACCAAATGCCACTCACTTTACATACAATAACACAACATGCCACTGCCGTTAGTTGACCGTTAACACTTTCTCCCTCTTGCCATATGTCACCTTCTGTTTGGTCTGTTTTTTAATAAATTAATAATTTAAAAAAAAAAACAAATATACATATATATATATATATATATATATATATATATATATATATATATATATATATATATATATATATATATATAGGGAATGGATCATGTGAAAACAAGTCTAAGGCTAAAAACTAAAAACAAGTGATCTAGACCATTGATTCTAATCTAACGGAGGAGATTAATTTCGTGTGTTAGACATACACTCACTTCTTCCTCCTTCATGCATCTTCTCTCTCTAAAATTTCAAGCAATTCTTTCTCTCTCTTTCATGTTTTGGATGGAAATTCTATCATCAAATTGGTAAGTTTATCAATTTCATCATCAATTTCTTCGATTGTTTAAATGTATATGTTCAATTTAGTTAACTATTTTAATTTTTCGGTTTAATTTCTTCAGTTATAGTTCGATTTTTCGGCTTTAGTTTTCACTTTTGTTCGATTTTTACGGCTTAATTTGTTCAGTTGTGTTAGGTTTTTTGTGCTAAGTTTTTTTCAACAATTTTGTTTGATTTTGCGATTTCGTGTTTGATTTTGTTCAATTTTGTTCGATTTCCTATTTGATTTTGCTTGATCTTAGTAAATTAGGTTTTTATGTGTAATTTTTTGCTCGAAATTCTACTCTTTACTTTATTTGAGCTATTTCATTCTTAATCGAGTTTCATATGAGTGTAATTACGTTATAATTCAACTTAATTTCTTCGTTTGTTTGGCATTCTTGAGCTTCAATTGTATTTTATTTGTAATTTTTGCTCGACTTTATTCCGGTTTTGAATGCAATTGTATTTTCGTTTAATTTTGTATTTTCTAATTGGCTGAATTGTTGATTGTTGGAGGTTGAATTACTGATGTTGGAGTCGAGCTTTGGTGGCGAATTGGTGGAGCAATTGGTGGCTGTTGTGTGGGCGTCCGATAAAGCTTTCTGTAAATGCGATTTCTAGCTGCATGTATTAAATAGTAACAGTATGTTCTGATCTGCATATAATTAGTCAATATTAGCTGGTTGTTAATGTTTCTGAATCTACAATTATTTCTGCAGCTAATGCTAAATTAGATGATATGGTCTTACAATTTCAAAATATATCAAATAGAGCCACTGCTTTTCAATTTCTATCTTTTAGTCAAAGACGAATTGTTGTTTTTCTTCCATATAGTTTATGGTGAATGTTACTTGGACTTGCATAGTTGATTGGAGTGACTAATGGTGCAAACATGAAATAGTTGATTTTAGCAAATTACAGTCTATGGCTTATGTTGATTTTAGCAAAAGTAAGTAATTGATAATAAACCAGTCATTTTTTTGAAGTCTACAGGTTTACTAGTACCGCAAATCTTGTAATCCATTGTTTATTAAAGCTATAGTTTAAGTCTGCAAGTGTAATTCATTCATTATGTTCTCATGATGAGTGATTCGTTACTAGTGCAAATAAAGCCTGACATTTTTATTATAAACCTTCTTAAAAAAATAGTAAGTAACTCCATAGATTAACATTAGCCCCTTCTAATTCAAATAGATTCCTTGAGACTCTCTGGCCTCTATCATCAATCAGATTGCTGTTAGTAGGTTAGGTTCTACACCCTATACATACAAAGTTACCAACCAGCTTTGCCCTTGATTCTCAAAATGGTTGCTAAATTGCTAGCAAAGGTAATTGCTTTGATCTTGTTTATTTGGATGTTATGTCTGCATTGTTATACTGGAAGTTCAGCTTAATGCTTATGCTATCTAGTGTAATAACTGTTTTTTTTTTTTTTTTTTTTTTTTTTTTTTTTTTAATGTATATGTTTTATTTCAGTTTCCTTGATTTTTTTTTACAGGCAAAGTATGAATCGAGTGAAGGCGCACAGGCCGCACACA